GTTGTAATGTGACAAAATATGGAAAAGTTCAAGGGGTATGAATACTTTTGCAAACCACTGTATCTTTATAGTATTTCTTTTAATAACAGTATGAGTCAAAAGAAGCAAAAATGAACTAAAAGTAACAACTTCATACTTTTTGCCCTTTTTAAAAAATGTAAGGAGTAGAAAGTAGATAATTGTGTGAAAATGTAAGAAGTAGAAGTAAAAAGTAGGCTGAAAAATAATTACTCAAGTAAAGTACAGATACCCAAAAATTCTACTTAAGTACAGTAAAGATGTATTTGTTCTTAGTTACTTTACAWCTCTGCTAAATGTAGGTTTCATGAACATCTCTGTCCCCTTAAGATTATAACAGCTCTCTCTCTTTTTGCACAATTTTCCTGAGTGTTTAYAGGTTATGTGTTTTGGTGAGCCTTATACATAAGTAACAGAATATTATAATCAACCAACTCATACAATTTCAATAATTTCAGTTTACAAAATATTAGATGGATAATGGTAGTGGTAATTTTTAAAGTTCCACGGTAAACAAGAATATAAGTTTACTTAAATGTAATATTTCATTGAGAATCTTGTCTCAGCAGGTAAAAGTTTCTGTTTGTCCGATGAGTTTGAAACATTGTTCTACTGATAAACAAACAAACATGGCGGACAGTAACGTGGCGTCTGATAACCGGCTCATCCTTCCTGTCGCTCATGTGACGTTTCTTTTATGATTAACAGATCGGTTATGGCACCACGGAGAACAGCCCCGTGACGTTCCTCGCCTCCCCGATGGACAACTTGGAGCGGAAGGCGGAGACGGTGGGCTACATCATGGACCACGTGGAGGTAACGCTTCCTGTTTCCTCGAACAGAGAACAGCAGAGCAGGAACATGTTTAAAACGGTTCCTGCTCGTCASCGATGTGTTTCAGGTTTCTATCAAAAACACACATTTAACCAAACAGTTGGGTTTGATTACAGAGTTTCCAAAGAGTCTGCAAGTGTTTGCAGCAGTTCACGTGTTGCTGGAATTTGAAACGTATTCAGAATGTGGAAGAAATAAATAAAATAAACACGTTTTCTTTCTGAAGAGACGCTCGGTGTTTCGAACTCGGCTCCCAAC